TGGAGGATGATTCAGAGCTAAAATTACACTCGCTCTCCAATCAAAAGTTGTGGGCTCTGTTCCTGGGTTTGAAGATGTTTGAAGTGTGCACCATGAGTGTCATACAGCAGATTCAACCATTAGTACTCTGATTGGTTTAGAACATTTCATTTCTGAGGTATGTCGACACCAACAATTGTGATGATATTAGCCATTTGCCTTTTCGCAAGCTTCCACCGGGCACTGTCAAAATGTTATGGGTCCAGTCTGGTTTGAAGTGTTCGCTTCTTGTCCTGACTCAGCTTTGGTGACTGATGCTTTCACACAACTCCCCTTACTATGTGCAGCTTGATGGTGGGTTAGCTGAAGGTACAATCACTTCCAAAGACGGTTTCAGCAGAAGTGGTGCAAGGTGATGGGATTTGCCCAAATCACAGACCAGTTGGCCTGTGATGATTGCTTGGACTACAAAGAAGCATACCGGACTGCGAAGGAGTTTTGTAAGAGTCAGAAACAAGTCAGTTGGATATTGAAAGTCCACATGGAAATATGGTCATGTGAATGCGTGAGGATGTGCAAGGCAAATATGCAGCCATTCGTGCATATAAATCCCACATCGAGGGTGTAAAGAAGGACAGAGCCCTTGAGAGCTTTTACATGGTGCCTTGGACACACAAGCTATTGCAATGACAAACAATAAAGTATCATTGAGACAGGGTGTTGACTGTATCTGAGGGCCAAGATCCCTTTTGTGAAGGTGTCGACACATTGTGTGTTCATTGGGTTTCTCAGCTGCAGTTGGAAAGCACAAGTTGGAAAGCTTCTAAGCCATAACCTTTGAGAGTACGTCGTAGCAAGTTCTATGCGATAAGGATGGCATGGACCAATCGAAGTGGTGTGTACCACGTGCTCGTGGCCATGCCCAGTGCAAAGACTTTATGAAGTACCCTCGGCCAAGGTTGAAATTGCACGCAGTCTGGGTTCACCATGTAGGCCTATGGGCCTTCATGGTTGACCCCAGACGGTCAGCAGATGGATCACTGGTTGTTGAGGCAGCATCACGGGTGTGGTGAGAGAGATCTTCAAGAGAAACAACAAACCTCTCCCAGGTTCGCTGGTGTGTTATTCAGATAACACGGTAAGGGAAAACAAGAATACAACAGTGCTGGGCTGGTTATCAACCCTTACAGCTCGAGGAAAATTCCAGGCTACACAGCTTCTTTGTCACCGTGTGGGGCACTCACATGGCCCCTTAGATCAACTATTCGGGATCATAGGGACAGCAATGAAATACATTGATGTTATGGCGGATGGTGAAGATGCTGTTCAGAATCTAGGCCTGAGTTTAGCTCAATTTGCCAAGGATGTTTATTATATATTATATATATTTGGGGCTCTTGATGTTCGTCTCAAGTACCATGGGTTGCTCAATGGTCCTGGGTTCAAATCGCCCAACCCATGTCCATCAGGAAACTCTCCAGTGTGTTGAACAAGATCAACTTGCAACCTTTTCTTGGACACAGAGCGTGCATCAAAGTGCAGTACCTCTCTCGTGTGAGGGACTGGAAGAGCTGGCTCCTTGTCTGAAAAATCATTGATGTCATAACTGTGACTGCCATCCACAATTAGGAGCAACCTCAGCCCTCAATCCAATCCACAACAAGATGAAAGGTGAAAGCAAAACAGCAATGAGACACCTATGATCACTAATGCGTCCTAGTGCTTCAGGTTTGAACAATGCGCAATCCAATATCAAGGTGGTCTTCGAGATGACTCCACTGGTTTGCACTCGTTTTTGTGGATGAAGCGAAAAGGTAGGGGTGGGCGAAAGCATCACAGTGTCACAGTGACTCCTAGTTAACTGCAATATACTGCAATGTTTGCTCTAAACATGGCCATCATTCTTTAGCAGCATTCGGTGCGTCGGTGCGTCCCTCTCAGACATCCCGCCGAACATCAAGATCAATGGCTATGGACCTGCAGCAGCGGGTGTTCCATCACACCATGAAGATGTTGTTTGCTTGACATAGCGCTACTGCAATGACTTTGAGCTGTGTCAGGAGAAGTGTTCTAAAAGTCTTGCTCATGTTATATTGCAACACTCATAAAGCAAACTGTGTGTCGTTTGGATTTTGGGTGTTTTTCATACGACTGCAGGTCCCCGTGCTGGCGTTTCCGTTCAGCTTTCTGAGCAGGTTGATGACCCCAGTTCCAAACACTGCTCGTCCATCCAAGTGCATCAATTTAGAGAGAAGAAAGCAGTGGGTTGATTTGGCTGATGCAATCTCCAAAAGAAACCCTACTGCAAGCACCTGGCGAACTGTACAGTTTTTGTTGATGCTAGCTAGGGATGATTTAGAATCAAACATAGATGCTTTTCCGTCATTTCCATGGCTTGAAGGGGCTGAGGTCACCCCTATGGTGGACACTGCCCAGGAGTCTCCATTGGGTAAATTCTGCCCTGCAATGCACTTCCGTGCGAAGCTCATACACGGATGAAAGAAGTTAGAAAATGTTAGGAACAGGTTGCCTGGCCTCATGGAAGTCGAGCTAGCTTTCTTCTCAGAGTACCTAGCCATCAGTCGAATGTCATAGACTTTTTGGCTTCTCAGCTCGGTAGAGTACTGAAAACATGGATCTGAGTATGGTGACCTAGTTGCATACAAACACGTTACGTTCAACTTCCAAACAAAACGTAGCTATCTCAAATTCAACATTTAGATTGAGAGTTCTCGCGTCTCCAGGTAGAACATGCTTCTGGGACAACATCCATTATGCCATCCTGCTCGGAGGAGGCTTCTATGAAAGGTACATCGGAAGCCTGTCGCATTCAGTTGAAGAGCTACCATGTGCTTAACCCTGACATTCTTAGCTGCCAACCCAGGAAGTTTCTGACTGTCCGCCTTCACCAGATTCCAACCCGTGGGTACTTTGGGTGAATTGGTTCTTTTTGAGACATGACATGACCTTTGCCCCTCCCCAAACAGAGTCTTCATAGCAAAAGCCTGAGGCGAACCCGCAAAGATTTATGGCGTGCGGAATCATCTCAATGGAGGAGTACCTCATGTTTATGGCGAAGATAGATTGCACCATCCACCAGGGTATTGCAATTTGGGAGAATTAGGGTTGATGTCAGTCACATCACCACCCCTGAAACCCTTCACCAACTCTTGGCTGAGCCTAGGCAGAAGATTCAGAGAAGCCTGGCGCACATCCAGTGACATTTGGAACAACTGCAATTTGGAAGGACCAGGCCAGTTACTTCATGTGTGTGGTGACTCCACATGGTCAACATATTTGTCTTGAACACACAGGTGTCCAATCAATATGCCTGCATCTGCATCGATCCTAATACTATCCAAAACAGTTTAGTCCAGAGGTTTTGGACCCCACACAACATGGTCAGGATGGACCTCTTCAATCCCAGCCAGCGAAGCGCGTGGTGCGAAAGGCAACTCTGCGGAATGAGTTTGTTGCCAAACACTGATGAGTGGAATTTGTTGGACCTGGCGCAAACTAGAATTCCAAAACATGTATGGTTGATTCCCTGTGAACTTGCTTGCAAGTTGTGTCTCTCAGGCGAAGAGGAGGGGTGCCACTACAGGGAAGGCACCTTGGAAGGTGAGACGGGCAAGGACACCCACTCAAACATGTGAGACAAACAAACGCTCACATTGTGGAAAATGAAACCGACATCCAGGTCTTAATTATGTTGTTACCTTGTTTCAGGGTTCATTGATTGTCTCCTAAGACAATCATTTGAAATTAGAAGTCGCATGTTAAGCTCAGACCACAAAGTGATCTGTTTTGGCTACAATTCACATGTCTCAGTCCCACTGCGAGAAAAAAGGTTCAAGCTACCAGTCTGCTTTCAATCTTTTGGTCACGTTTGCATCTGAGCATTTGCTGCCGCTTTATATAATGGTGAGTGCTGTTGAGTTGGGGCTCGAAATCAATAGGTTTGGGTAAAGGACTTAGGACAACCTATGCCCCAGCTCACCCTGAGAGAAGCTGTCAAGCTGGTAGTGGCCCGTAAGAGTGATGTTCATGGCCATGGACCTGTTGCTGGGAAGAAGGTGAAGAGTCTTTGGCACGAACAACTGAACATGAACATTCCCTAAATATGGAAAACCTAGATTCGAGGGTTCAGTAGTTCTGCTCAGGAAAACCATGCTGAAGGCACCGAAGTCCACCATCCCTCTTCCACGTCCAGAAGAATGCCCGACAGGTCCGACTTCGATGGCAGGCCTTTTCAAATGGCCACAGGTCTTTTTGGTGCTTTTGTGCCACCACTTTGGTCCTGGCTTCATCCAGAAAAGATTGAAGTTATGGGATTGGGATGTTGCAACCTCCTTCAGTGGTGTTGGATGCGCAGAGCATGTACCCTAGATGAGTTTTATGTTTTTTGTGGTCAAGCTGACGTTGATCAAACTTCTGGGAACTTGATGAAATTCTTTACCCTTTACCTGTATTACTTCATCTCCTGAGGCAATTCTATGCCTACAATCAGCTTGCAACAAGATTCTCAAGTACAACAAGGTCAGGCAGTTCTGTAGAATCAAATGGGCGTTTGAGTGGAACAAATCGTGTCAGCAAGTCCTTTCGAACACCTTTGGGGTTTGCTGCTTTTCTGACATCAACGAGTACAAGCCCAACAAGGGGTTACACCGCTGCACCCATGGGAAGACATGCAACCTCCACATCAAACATGCCAAGCGAAGAACCTTGTCATATGTGTGGTGAGAGTTTGTGGGTTATTGGTTGTAAAGGACCCCTGGGCATCATCCCTGACACTGAGGATTGAAGGTATCAATTGCTGGTCACTTACTCAGAGTTAGCTTCGCCCCGCCCATGCACTGAAAGGTAAAACATCATAAGTTATGATTCATAACCTATCCAAACCTTGTTCAAAGTTCGCCCCCCTCCAAACCTGAGGTCCACCCTGTGTGGCGTATTCGCTTATCGGCAAAAGGCTTAAAGAACGGGACCCGTCCTACCTTGCACACACAAACTATTTCAGAATGACGGATTCAGAAGACTTTGATGTACAAATACTGGAAAATGTTCCAGAATACTCAGAAGAAGTTGTTAAATTCAACTTGAAACACTGCACGACCAAGTCATGGGAGGTGCGATCCTGTGTCTTGGACCCGCGCCTGTTTGGGCAAAATGTGGCAAGGCCTCGCAGGTACTTCATTTGCTGGAGGCCTGACAAGGTCGAGTGGGTGGCCCCATTCTCTTTTGAGGATGTGGTCATGGCTTTGAGGAGTTGCCCCACCATTGATCCACTGAAATACTTTTGGAAGAAGTTGCCACCGTCAACCTTATCTCCAGCTCAGGACCCCTAAGGGCATTCAATCAACTGTAGACAACATTGAAACCTGTGTTGTTCCTTTTTTTCTGGGAAGCTAGCCCCCTGGTGAGGAAGCAAATAGGTCTGACTATGACCAATCCAAGCGGTTCTTTGACCTGCAGCAGTATGCCAAGAATGAGCGGGGGCGCACTGAAACCAAAGATGGTGCCCTCATGACACTAACTACAAACAGCGGATCCATCTACAGCCAGGAGACAGTTCATTGGCTCAGGCAATTCTATGCAGTCAACCAAAACCCTACAAGACTCTCTACAACAAATTGAATTATAGTCTTCTAAAAATCTAGTTGTTGTTTGCCATCAGGAGCTACGTCGCAAGCTTGACCCACATGAAGCGTTGGCCACACATCTACTTCCTATGACTCAGAAGATGGCGAAACTCTCAGGTGGTCTGGAACCCAACCTCCTGAATCCACGTGTTCCCAGCACAGCTGTTACAAAAATGGCAGGGAATTGCATGAACCTGCCATCTGTGGCAGCTACTATTTTGACAAGTGCCATTTGCTTGGCGCCGAAGAGCATGTGAATGAATGTTTACTGCCCAGCGATGTACAATATGTGAGTGTGTAACATGCTCACAGTATCTCAGAGTGCACAGTGCTTTTAGCAAATGCCTATGTTCATGAATGTCAATGTGTGCGTGGTGCTGCGAAAACATACAATGTGCAAAGGCAACTGGTTAAGACATCAAACATGTTTGGGAGTAAACAATGCTTGAACCTATTGTGCAATGCGCACAGTAAAAGGAACATTTTGGCTTCAACGACAGGTGAGAGTTCAGGGTCTGTTGTTCTGGGCCAATCAGACTTGGCCATGGGCAAGCGAGGAGGCTCCACGCCTTCTGGTGGAAAGACGAAATCACCAAAGGTTTCCCTTGGGCCGTGGACGGATCTGATCATGGAACACATTGGGTGGGAAACTGAGTCAAAGTTAGACACTCAACTCAAACCCTTGCCAACAGTACAGGTTTCTTAGTGCAACATACTTTCTTGAGGCAGTTCAATCCCATGAAGGATGAGCACCCAGTGAAGTTTGTCGTGGACCAGCTCACTGACCATTCCATCTACACTCCTCTCAGTGAGTGGGTGAGAGGTTTGATTCCTGGGTTTCCACTTCCTGGAGAGAGCACAGTTCCCCCAGTTGCGTGGCAACACATATTGCAAACCATGTTACTGGACACCATCTATACCCAAATCTGGAGGGAAAACTCATACTCAAAATGACGTGGGCTGTCTAAGGTTGACCGGTCATCCTCAGTGTTTACCTGCAGCCTCCTGGCCTTTTCACTTGAGCGACCATGTGATGGATTTCCTGTCCTTGAGGACTGGAACTCTTTAGCGCAGGACCTGTACCATGGAGGATTTGAAAGCCATCAAGGCTCTGTGGAGATCCGATTTGCACCTGATGCTCGATCTGGAGAACCAATCTCTTTTGCTTCGGTGGCAGCTTCCAAGGGACACACACGAGTCAGTGTCCTGTTATTCGGCTTGGTTTACACCTACACCAAGCTGAAATCAATGACCACAGAAGAACAAAACGACTTTATCAGGCCATGGTAAGGGGTCAACAGGGTTGTCCTTTGGGATTGAAAATTAAACATTGGAAAGATGAGTATTGAACCTTGGAAGGGCATGGGGTGTCCTGTTGTTTGGCTTGGTATACATTCTCACCTAATTGAAATCAATTACAACTGAAAAACTTAAAAAAATGCCAATGCAAGTAAGGGATCAAAAGGGTCGTCCTTTTGGAATCTGAGTTTTGAAACTTGGAAGGGTGAGGGTTTTGTTGAAACCATCGTCCTTTCTGTTCATGTCAGTCACTGCCAAAAAAACCTATGAGTTGCCCACTATTTTTTTAATTATTGCAAAGGATGAGGGTTTCGTTGAAACCCTCGTCCTTTTGACTGAGATAAATTGAAGATTCAAACGGTGACACGTTTGGTCCCCCAAAATATGAGATCCGTTGATTTACTACCCCCCAAAATGTCTCAAGAGACTCAGTTTTGTCTACTCTGGACTTGACTGTGTGGGGGTGAGAGTCTCACCAAAACCATCGTCCTTTGAAATTGAATTAAACAATATTTTTTTACACAATGGAGAACCAGAAAAGTTAAGGGAACCAGTTTTGCCTACTCTGGAGCTCG